AGGTGACAAAAATATTTTATTTTATCAAATATTTAATGAAACTGCACAAACAAACAAAAATTATCAAAAAGAGAGAAAAAAAATTGTAATCAAATTAGGAGTGAGGATTATTTCTTTTGCTATGATTTTGATTACAATATACTACTCGGTAATATTTATTGAGGGAAGAAGAGAGAATATGAAGCACAGTTATTCGATATTTATGGTTTCAACTAATTTGGCCAACTATTTTTCAATCTTGTTAAGTTTTTTGACTTATTTACTAAAATTAAATACGGAGTGTGATATACTGGTCAACTGGGCAGATGGGTCTTTATCCCCAACTTTGTCTTCCATTATTTTATTGTTCCGCAGCTGGGAATTTAGATTTCCCAGGCATGGTCAATTGGTCATTCTTCAACTTCTTAAAAAGTACTAGTGCCTCGTTTGACATTGTTGATATTTTTAAAAGTTACGGAGTATATGATAATAAATTTTAAAATTAGTGTTTTCAGAATTAATCTATATTATTAAAATTTTATTCAAAACTCTAATACTAATCGATAATGATAAAATTAGATATATCCATAGTTTGTTTAAGATTGCCACGTCATTCAGTCGTTAATAGGTGATGGATGATTTGTTAAAATGTTGCCATGTAGATTCGACACTTGTCGCAATTCTAGAAGTTTAACTCTCAAATTTACTCCCTCCGTTCTGATTTATATCGCCCGTTTTGACTTTGAGGTATATTTAAGGAATGAAAAAAATGGCATTGACCTTCCAAAATTTCCCCTCTATGCATTTTTTGTGTTTTTGATTTAAAAAAAGAGTAAAGAACACAAATAAGAAGAAAACCGCCACTTATGGAAGAAGAACACAAAAAAACACAAATAAGCATTTCAAGTACAACAATGGTTACAAATATCTAATCTAACACCAAACACATCAACATATCACATCTTTGTCTTGGAGAGAAAATGTCCCTCCATTTAATTATACAAATGCAAACAATACTTAAGGACTACGTCCTGCACACTCAAGGAGTGCATCCTGCAAAAAAAAGCTCTCCAGTTCTTCACTTCTTCATTCCACAACATGAACAGAGATGCTGCCATGGCATCTTCAGTTCTTCATTCCACTCCATGTCTTCACCCACACATCTCCAGCAGTGCACCTGTCACAGAAGAAGAAGAAGAAGAAAAAGTCAGTGTTCCTATCAAACAAACCAAAAGAAATCTGAATGACGTGGAAAGGCGAATTATCCTAGACTGCTTTCTACACAAATCAAGCAAAGGGAAACTTCAGCACGACACAATTAAAGAAATCATGGAGGACTTTAACTTGTGCAGGAGAACAGTCAGTTCTCTTTCGCATAATTGTCGTAACCAACTCATGGATGGGTCAGTGTTAGACGCAAGTAACAACAGAAGAGGAGTTGTTAGTAGAAAAGGGTCTGTTTGAATTTGGAACAGATTGAGGGCATTCCATTTCACAGAAGAAATAACATACGTTCTTTATCTGCTGCTATACAAGTACCCAAATCCATACTACATAGGTGCATACAAGGAGGGCAACTATAAAGTCACACAAATGCTATAAAGCCTTTCCTAACAGAGGAAAACAATCTAAAAAGGTTAGCTTTTGTGTTAAATCAGTTGATTCCAGAAATCCTTCCCCACTCACCCTTGTTTAAAGATTTCTCATGTACTATTCATGTGGATGAGAAATGGTTTGAAATGTCCAAACAATCCCTCAGAGTGTATAAGACTGAGAGAGAAAGAGAGCCCATAGAACAGCTAAAAGTAAGACACACATTCCTAAACTAATGCACTTGTGTGCAGTAGGCAGGCCTATCTTTGGTCCTGAGGGGGAGGTTATTTGGGATGGGAAAGTTGGAATTTGGTCTCTAACAAATCAGGTTCCTGCACAGAGGAGTAGTAAAAATAGGGCAGTAGGAACTCTAGAGACCAAACCCATACCCAAAATAACCAAAGAGGTGTATAGAGGACTTATGATTCATAAAGTTCTGCGAGCAATCAAGGAAAAAGTACCAGATGCACTTAGAAAACGCATAATCATACAACAGAATAATGCAAAGCCTCATATTGCTGTGGATGACATGGAGTTTGTGCAAGCAGTCAATGTTGGTGGTTACAACATTGAGCTTACATGTCAGCCACCAAACTCACCAGACTTAAACATTTTAGACTTGGGGTTTTTTGCATCAATACAGTCATTGCAACACCAGACAGCCTCTAAAATGTGGATGAATTAGTACAACATATGGCATAAGCATATGCTAATTTGGATGCTAAGAAACTGAATAATGTATGGATCAGTTACCAGTTAGCAATGATAGAGATCTTGAAAGTACAAGGAGGCAATAACTATGAATTGGCACACATAGGTAAGGCCAGACTTGAGAGAGAAGGTACACTACCAAACCAACTGGAGGTAAATGCAGAACTTTATGAGTCAAGTCTATATGCCTTACAAGGTGTCCAAGGTAGAAATGGGGAAGGGAGTGCTTCAGGAACAATCTAAGTGATATCATCTTTCAAATGTCTTTTGTTTACTATGTTCATCATATGCACTTTTTTGTTTCTTTTTTGTCAGTGTGTATGGACAGCAAATGTATGCAAACATTTTTTGGATTTTGGATGCATATATGGATAATGAACATGTTTGCTGTTATTCTGTAAATGGATGCCCTCTTTCTAAAACCTCCAAACACACAAGATACAGTGGGAGGATACATAAATGTTACCTCATGCACTAATCATGTGTGGGTGGCTGAAGTCCCAAAAAACAATTATCAAAGCATCACAAACACTGCCCTAAATGACCATAAAGGTTACAAACACCAAGCACATAGTCCACGCATCACATTCGAGTGCAAATTGTCATCATTAGTTTCCCATATAATGTGAACAATAGAGTAATGCACACATTAAGGAGGCACTTAATAAAAATATTCTACGCACATAAGAAAGCGAGGAATACTCCCGTAGAAGTCCTTGTGGCGCATCTTTGGATTCGAGAATAACAACTCCCATAGAACATCATCCCCTTCTTCGTATATGTAGGAGTCAGAATCTGTGTCATCATTATCCTCCACATCCTCAACATCCACATCCTCTGTACTAGCAAGGGGGGCTGTATTAGCAGTGGGGACATTACTATAATACGCCTCAAGCTTCTCTTGCACCATTGACAACTGTTTTTCAATGCGAATCTCATCAAAAACAGCTTCAAGCTCCGGTTCATATGAATCTGGAGTGCTATAAGTAGATGAGAAATCACTTTCATCACTATGTTCGTCCATGACTTCGATCTGTAACAAAGGGCAGGAATACATAAATTAATTGATTAAATATGATAAATTTAAAAGAATTGAATAAAAATCCAGACCTACTAACCTTAGCTGCCAAAAAGGATCAGATGTCCCTTAGATCTAAGTTTAGATCTAAGTTTCGTAGATCTAACACAGTTGAGATCTAAGTTTAGATCCAAATTCAACAATGAACGAAGAAGAAGAAGAAAAAGAACATATATTTGAGAAGGTGGAGGAGCGAGATATCGAAATTGAAGTGCAGGTGAGGAGCGAAATAAGGATGACTGTTGAGCTTCAAAGGAATAAAGAAGAATATAGATTTGAGGTGGAGATGTAAAAGGGAAAATGGGTTGATGGGTGGGTGGGAGATGTAAATGGAAAGAGGGGTATTTTAGGAAGTTTGTTTTTAAAAGCTTACCAAAAATAGAAACATGCAATTTATTTTGGGATGAGCGAAAAAGGAAAACAGTCAATTTGAATTGGGACGGAGGAAGTAATAAATAAAGAAAGATAAAGATAAAATTTTTGACATAGATGTCTGATGGTGTAAACTACTTGACCGGTCAAACTATACTAGACCGGGTCTAGAATAAGTTGCTTTATTTGGTAAAGTAAGAAAGGTAAAAATGCGTAGATTGACCGGTAGGACTTTAGGTGGAGCACCTGTAGCCCAATTTATATTATAACGGAGAATGCACGGGTGCTTTTACAAGGGAGTTTAGAGAGAATGAATTCGGATCCCCTTCCTCGAGGGTTACAAGGGGTATATATACTAAGCTGGGGGGACAGGACCACGTGCGCCCACGTGGGGGCATGCTGCTGATGTGGTGCAAGATGACTGTCCCTGAGCCGCCTTGTCATCTTGCGAGGGGGATTACCCCCTTGTCACGTTCTAGCTTGGAAATATTCCTCCAGCATCTCCACTGAGTTCCCAGCAATGCCAACCACTACAGTCCAAGTCCTTTTGGACTCTTCCTGCCGACACTTCCCAATCATTAAAAACTGCACCGGNAAGGGAGTTTAGAGAGAATGAATTCGGATCCCCTTCCTCGAGGGTTACAAGGGGTATATATACTAAGCTGGGGGGACAGGACCACGTGCGCCCACGTGGGGGCATGCTGCTGATGTGGTGCAAGATGACTGTCCCTGAGCCGCCTTGTCATCTTGCGAGGGGGATTACCCCCTTGTCACGTTCTAGCTTGGAAATATTCCTCCAGCATCTCCACTGAGTTCCCAGCAATGCCAACCACTACAGTCCAAGTCCTTTTGGACTCTTCCTGCCGACACTTCCCAATCATTAAAAACTGCACCGGTTGGTTCTTGAGGGTTGGATCTGCCAACTTCAAAGGATAAATTAGAACCCGGCATAGTTAGACCGGTATACTATTCGAAGTATACCGGTCAACCGTTTTGGTCAACCCTTTACCCTTCCATGAACGATTCATCTTTCTTCTAAGTTTGACCTGTTTGACTAGTCAACTTATATGGGTCTGACCCTTGACCGGTCATGGGTGAAATACACCCATCAATAAGCCCTCCACTTCTCGGTTATGCAATTTGTCATAAGTGGGAAGTAAAAAAAATATGAAACAGGACTTTTAATTTCGAATTTCAGCTTTTCCAGCCCAAGGATTTCAAAATTTGAATTTCAACGCGCCTCAACTATCCATTCTGAACCGCTGTCAGCTCGTCCGTTCGTCTCCCCATGCGCCATCATTCCGCCGCCTGACGCGGCGCCCTCGAGTGGCCACGTCGCCCGTTCCCTTCCTTCCTTGCCTATATAAAGCGCTCCACCCCATTCATTTCTTCACTTCTTCTCGCGCATCTCCTGAGTTTCACCGGTCAAGCTCCTCTCTCTTGTCTTCCCAGCCCTCCGAGCCAAGTAAGCTCCTTTCTCTTCTTTATTAACTCTTAGTTTTCGTTCCCGGTCAATGTCTTCTTCTGATAGTCAGGGTATTTCTTCCTCGGATGCCTACGCATCCGAGGAATCCTCAACCTCCTCGGATGCCTACGCATCCGAGGAATCCTCAACCTCCTCTTCTTCGACCGGGTCTTCTCTATCTGGTTTCGAAACCCGGTCGGGCCCCAACATCACCGTCCTTGAACCGCAGCCTGTTAACCAAATGCCCGGTCAGGTTTTTCAGGAGAGGGATGAACCGGTTGACAATGAGCCGGCTCCCTATGACCCTGATAACGAGTCATATGAGGGATGGGCGAACCGGCTGGAAGCGGCCGGTTACTCTCCCCTCCCCACTAGCTACCCCTCAGACATTTTCCCCCATGTTTCCAAAATTGCCCAAAACAAGGTTCGTAGGAATCTCCCGGAGGGGTATGTCCTTGAATTCGACCCCAGCTGGCCGAACATTATCGAGCCTCACCGAGATGATAGAATAGGCTTCCACATCACTTCTTTGGAGAGTGGAACCGTCTTCCCCCTCCGTCCCCTCCTTGTCGAGTTGTGCCATTGTTTTAAAATCCTTCACGGGCAAATTACGCCCAATGCCCACCGTTTCCTCAACGCCTTTGTAAATATCTGCGTTGAACTTAAGATCGACCCTTCCCTTCGCCTGTTTCTCGTCTTGTTTGAAGTCCTTCCCGGTAAATCGGGATGTCACGGTTATGTCTATTTCAAGGGCCGTAACGGCCGTCAATTTATCTCCGACCTTCCACAAAGCAACCGGTAGTGGAAGGAAAAATTTGTTTTTATAAAATTTCCTTCCATTTCTCCTCTGGCCGGCATAAAGTGGAACGATCAACTCCTGAAACCGCAATACACTGAGCTGGCTAGCGCTCCAGACTTGGAAGAAAGTTTGGAGAAACTTTTACAAGGGGACCCGTTCACCGGGAAAATGTTCCATTACAGGGCTTGGATTTGGAGAATCTCACCGGGTGGCACGGGTACCCCCAGGGCTGATGAAGTAGCGGGGCACGGGGTACCCGCCCCGGGCAACACCGCGGAGGCTGGGGGCTCCAGTCACCCGGGTATCCTTTCCTATTCTTTCCTCATTCTCTGATTACATCGGTCAGGGTTCAAACATTTATATTTTCCCTTGTTTTGCAGAGATGAATTTCAAAGCGTTCAACATTCCGACGAAGAAGACCGGTGGCTCCTCCTCTGCTGCCCCCAAAACTGTACCGGTCCAACAGGAACCGGTAGAGATCCATTCTGAGGAGGAAACTCCTCCGACCGGGAGGACCGGTCAGGCTGGGAAGACCACGGTAAACCCTCCCCTAGACAAGGGGAAGGGGAAGGTTCGAACCAAGCACGCCGCCACCACCCATCCCTCGGCGAAGAGGAAGAGGGGAGAAAACGTCCCGGCTACAGAGTCGTTAGAGGAGCTCTGGGTCAAGATGGGGCGAAAGCTGAAAGAGGTAACATTTGCCCGGTACATTTTCTTGAATTTGCTACTTATCTGTCGCACTAACCGGCACGTCTCGTTTTGCAGATGGGCGAGGTTGGGCCTGAGACCTTGGAGAGGCTTGCTGGGGACTCCCCTTCCCGGTCACTCCAACTGGAGGAAAAACTGAAGAGGCTTGAAGCTTAGAACCGGGAGCTTCAAGACCTGACAACCCGGCAACTTGACGAGATGGCCAACCTCTCGGTGGTTGCCGGTAGGGCGAACGCGGAGGTCCTCCAGCTGAAAGAGGAGAACACGCTGTTGATGGGGGAGGTCTCCCACCTAAAGGAGGAGGCATGGGTGAAGGAGCAAGAGCTGCCCAGTCGGGCCAGACAGTGGATGGAGGAGAACCTGGTAGAGGCCGCCCGGGTGCTTACTTCCTCTGGGGAGAGGACAATGGAGGGCTTCAAGCTTCTGTACCGGGAGGACCATGGGAAGGAGATGATCACCCAAATCGGCTCCTATGGTTTCATGTCGGGCCAAAAAAGAGACCAGGAGGCCACCCATGCGATCCTTGCTGACCGGGACCCGGACTTCGACGCTGATTCATACGGCCTGGCCCCCATCCGGACGAAGAACCTGCACCTCCTTTTCCTCTCGAGTAATCTTCCCGGCTGCGACCGGTTGAATCGTTCTGTAAAACTTCAAACTCATTTCCCCGGGAATGCCCGGTGTAGCTGTAAAACACTTAACTTTCTTTTTTTTATTGAATGCAATGTCTGATTTCCATACTGGTTGATCTTGCTCCTTGATCGATATTTTCATTTTGCTCCTCATAATGTCTTCGTAAAAACTCTGACCGGTTATACTTTCGTGTAATCGAAATAGACCGGTTGAACTCCAACTTTTACTTTTGAATGTCTTCATCTTTGATGGTCAACTTGAAAAAGTTCGACCGGCTGAACTTTACTTTGGTTTTTGGATACCTTCACGAATTCTTCGACAAAGTTCAGTTTGACCGGTGGATTCCCACTCCATGATTCGACCGATCAACTGCTTTGTGGTAGAACTTTTGAATTTCCGTTGTATCGATACCCAACCGGGGTATTCCTTTTTTTTGACCGGTAGGTTGTAGATGGAAACACCTGTAACCTAGTAATTCTTGAAGTATCCTTAACCGGTAAGAATACTGGAGATTTAACCATGTCGAATGGTTTCGAACCCTCTCCAAGGTTCAAATGCACCCTTCTTCCAGGGCCCCCCTCTTCCGGGTGATTAAGTCTTTTAATGGCCCTTTAATTTCTACTATCCCGGTGAGGCCTTAGCTCACCCCCTCGTTCAAGTCTTCCCTGAGAAGGGGGAAACAGGATGTGCCACGGTGGACGATCCCCTTCTATTTCTTTTAATGGGCATCTTTTAGTCCCCAATCAATTTGACGGTACCGGCTGATTCCCTGATACTGGTCAAACCTCATGGGCCCGTGTAAGTACGGTTCGAACCTTCTTCCAGGTCCAGCCTTCTTGCAGGCATACCCTCTTCCGGGCCCCTCTTCCGGGTTTTAATATTTTTTCTATTATACTGAGCAAGACCGGTGTAGTAACCAGCGTGCCAGGTCCGGGCCTGTGTCTTAGTTGGCTTATCCAAGTGGATTCGATCCACCCGGGAAGCCCTCCTAGGGTAGGTTCGACCTATCCCTTTTGCTGTTACCATGTAGAGTATTGAATATCATTTTGATTGATAAGGTAATTAGGCCTCGCCTAGTATTACAATCATTTGTAGAATTTGCGAAGATGATGGGAATTTAAAGTTCTTTCTACCGGTATCCCGTCTAGAGTTTCTAACCGGTAGGTTCCCGGGCGAATGATGGCTCTCACCCGGTATGGCCCTTCCCAGTTTTTGGTCAGCTTTCCCCCATCGCCTGGTCTACTTGCTTCTCTTCTTCGTAGGACTTCATCTCCAACTGTGAAGTATCGCGGCCCCACCTTGTTGTCATGGTACTTCTTCACAACTTGTTGGTATGTACTCATCCTCACCTCTGCCGCCATCCTTCGTTCCTCGACCAAGTTGAGCTCGGCTAGATGGTCTTCTTCATTTTGCTGGGGTTGATAATTTGATTCCCGGAATGTTGGGAATTCAGCTTCGATGGGCAGCCTTGCTTCACACCCATAGGTTAGGGAGAATGGAGTTTCCCCATAAACCCTCCTGGTGTTACTCGGAATGCCCATATGATGTGTGGGAGCTCTTCCAGCCACTTGTTTCCTGCCTCTCCCAGCCGTTTCTTTAGACCATCCACGATCGTTCGGTTGGCGTTTTCAACTTGGCCATTTCCTTGGGGGTACGCCACCGAAGAGCGATTGTGCTTGATCCCGAAGCCCTCCAAGTATTCGGTGAATCTTGGATTTCGGAATTGTGTGCCGTTGTCGGTGATGAGGTTCATGGGCGCTCCAAACCTCGTGATGATGTTCTTCCAAATGAATTTCTTGCATTGCTGCGTGGTGATGTTGGCCAATGCTTCGGCCTCGATCCATTTGGTGAAGTAATCGATGGCTACGATTACGAACTTCGTCCCTCCTTGGGCGACTGGGAAGGCTCCAATGATATCAACCCCGAATCTAGCGAATGGGATGACATTCAATACGAGGTGATAGTAGGTCGCCGGTCTACCGGGATAGTTGTAGAACACTTGGCATGTTCTGCATTTCTGAACATACCTTTCACAATCCTGGACAATTGTTGGCCAGTAATACCCCAATAAGATGATGCGCTGGGAAAGCGTACGAGACATTTGGTGCGCCGCGCATACGCCTTCGTGGACCTCCGCTATGACTCGCTCAGCCTCCCGGTTAGTTAGACATCTTAGGAGTGGCCCCCCAAATGCCCTTTTATACAGCTTTCCATCAAGAACCTGGAATCGGGGTGCCCTGAGCTTCACTTTTCTTGCCCGATCATCCTGTTCTGGCAAGTTCCCATGCATCAAATATTCCATCAGATCATACATCCAATGGTCGTACGCCCCGACCAGGTTTGACCGGTCAGATTGGCTTCCGGCTGTTATAGCAGCGACTTCCAATTTTTCAATGCTGGCTCGATCCAGGATTTCCACCCAGGCAAGTTTTGAAACATGCTTGAGAGTATACTGCGTCAACTTGGAGAGAAGATCTGCATCCGCGTTCTGCGCCCGGGGAATTTGGGCGATCTTGAATTCCTCGAAGCCTTTCAACAGGGTAAGCACGAGCTCCTTGTATTGTGCCATGCGTCCTTCCCTTGCTTCCATGTTACCGATCAACAATCAGGCTAGAGTCAGATTTGATACTGACCCGGCTGATTTTCAGGGCTTGGGCAAGTCTGAGCCCTTTAGCCAGAGCTTCATACTTTGCCTCATTGTTCGTCAGCTTGAAGTTGAAGACGATTGCATGGTAGATCTTGAACCCTTCTGGGGTGGTGAACACGATACCGCCCCCGTATCCTCTAGGACCGGATCTCCCACCACTGCTCAGCGGGTTTGGTGACCGGTTGGTCTGGAGTTAGACCGGTCATTTCTACCAGGAAGTCCGCAAGGGCCTGTCCCTGGATTGCTGACCTTGGCCGGTACTCAATATTGAACTGAGTTAACATCATTGCCCACTTCACCATCCTCCCGGAGGATGTAGAATTTCGCAACACTGCCCCCAGCGGTTGGTCAGTCAAGACTTCCACCGGGTGAGCTTGGAAGTAGGATGTTAACTTTTTTGCGGAGATGAAAAGCGCGTAGGCTGTCTTTTCCATCGCCGTATATCTACTCTCTGCTCCGTTTAGTGCTTTGCTCACATAATAAATGGGCTTTTGTGCCCCATCATCTCTTATTAAAACGGAGCTTATAGCATTTGAGGACATTCCCAGGTACAGATACAGAGTTTCACCCAGTTCGGGTTTAGACAATACAATATCTGACGCTAGGTACTCTTTCAGCTCCTCAAATGCCCTCTGGCATTCTTCGTCCCATGCAAATGTGTTGGCCTTCTTCAGAACTTTGAAGAAGGGCAGGGATCTCTCAGCTGACCGGGAAAGGAACCGGCTGAGGGCCGCTAGACGACGACGGTCAACTTCTGAACATCCCTAACGGTTCGTACCGTCTTCCCGGTACGAACCGCGAAGACGCATTTCTTAGGATTCAGCCGGAGGTTGTATTTTGCCATGATATCGAACGTGGCTCGCATATCAGCTGGGTGGTTGAGAGATACCTGGCTTTTGATCAGCATGTCTTCGACGTATGCCTCCATGGTCTTTCCTACCAGTGGCTTGAAGAGTTTGTTCACCATGCGCTGGTAGGTTGCTCCTGAGTTCTTTAAGCCAAACGCCATTACCCGGTAGCAGTAGGTTCCTTCGGGTGTGAGGAATGACGACTTCTCTTCATCTTCCTTGGCCATGTAGATTTGGTGGTAACCCTTGAAGGCATCCATAAAACTTAGGAGTTCGCACCCTGCAGTTTCGTCCACCATTTGATCTGGATTGGGAAGGGGGTATGAATCCATCGGACAAGCCTTGTTCAAGTCCGTATAATCCACACACATTCTCCACGTGTCGCCCTTGGGAGCAAGGACAACGTTGGCCAGCCAATCCGGGTATTTGACTTCCCGGATGTGACCAACACTAAGGAGGTCCTTCACTTCCTTCTTGACGAAGTCTCGCCGGTCACTGGCCAGGTACCGCTTCTTCTGACGTACCGGTCGACTTCCTTCCCTCACGGCCAACCGGTGGCAGATAACAGAGCGATCTATTCCGGGCATATCCACCACGCTCCATGCGAATATGCCCGCGTATTCTTGGAGGACCCGTGTAATCTCTGCCTTGAGATCTTCGGGGAGATTTGCTCCAATTCTGACCATCCTCGAAGAATCACCCGGGTGAAGTTCGATTTCCACCGTCTCGGCCTCGGGCTCCAATTTCTCCTGGGTTTCTCCCTTTGTGATTTCTTGGGAGATGACATTGACTCCCTTGGTCATCTTCCTGACTGCCCGGGCATAGCATTCCCGGGCATTCCTCTGGTCACCCTTTACCTCACCCACACCACCTGGAGTGTGGAACTTCATGCATAGATGAGGCATGGAAATCACCGCCCCGACTCTATTGATGCCTGGCCTTCCAAGAATTGCGTTGTGGATGCACTTAATGTCCACAACGATGAACCGCATCTTCTTCTACACGGTCTTCTCACCTGATCCTAGTTCGACCGGTAGAACTATGGATCCTTCAGCTTCAACGGTGTCTCCCGTGAAGCCTGAGAGAGGGGTTTTGAGGGGTTCAAGTTGTGTTCGACAACACCTGAGTTTTTGGAAAGTCTCCAGGTATAAGATGTTGACACTGCTGCCGGTGTCAACAAGTACCCGGGCGATATCCACCCCATTAATGTCCAAGGTGATGACCAATGGATCATTGTGATCTTCACCGGTAGGAGGGAGATCCCGGTCAGTAAAGACGATCGGCTCACTCCTAGTATGTTTACGCCTGGCCGGTTCAGCACTTACTTCACCAACGTAAATGCTCCGGACCCAGTTCTTCCGCTGCGCGGCTGAATCTCCACCCTCAGGTCCGCTGAAGATCATGCCGATGTGCTCTTTTTTGGGAGCAGGTTGCCGCTCCCTTGGCCAGTTATTCCTCCGCCGGTCGTTGTCCCGGTCATCTCCCGGGGCAGCTGGCCTAACCCATTGATGACTCTTCTCCTGGGCTTTCTGCAAGTAATCCTTGCCCAGTTCTCCACTGTCTATCATCTGTCGGATCACCCCCTTAACACTTTTGCATTCGGAGGTGTTATGGGAATCTGACCTATGGTACGAACAATAGGTGCCCGGCCACTGCCGCCCTGTTTGACCGGTAGGATTTTCCGGAGGAATGACCGGTTCTTTCCGGATTTCTTGGCATTCTTCCGTATTAACCATACGGACGACCGGGTCATAGTGGTGTCTTGGCCGGCTAGGTCCCGGTGCTTCTTCCTTATTGACTTGAACCGGTTTGGGCTCTTAACCATGCTCGGCTTCTTTCTTCGCCCGGAGTTGAGTTTCAGCCTCAGCAAACTCCCATGCAGTATGGTAGGCCTCTTGGTACGTGGCCTGGGGTTTCCGGCAGAACTCCTTGTATAGTTCCCCAGCACGCAAGCCATTCAAGAGGAGGGATAAGACAGTTTTGTCATCCATCTCTTCCACCTTGTCTACCTCTTCCTTCCACCGAGTAAGGAACTGAGTAAGGTTCTCAGACTCTCTCTGCCCGGCTGTACTAAGATAGGTGAATTTCTTCCTCTTAGTACAATTCTCCTGGAACTTGGCCTTGAACTTCGAGGCCAAATCACTGAACGAATCAATGCTTCCTGGGCGAAGCTTATTGAACCATTCAGTGGCTCGGTTCTGCAAGGTCTGGAAGAAAAAAAGGCACTTTTCTTCATCGGTGCAACCGTTCATGGTCGCACTCTGGTTGAAGGAGTCTAGATGGATTTCCGGATCTTCCTTCCCGGTGAATCTAGGGGCGTCGATCTTGACCTTTCGCGGGAAAGGTGTGAGATGGACCCTGCCAGGGATTTGTCCCGGTCATTCTTCTCTCCGACCTTCTTTTCCAGCCTCTCTAGTTTTGCCTCCATCTGCTGGACGCGGTCATTTGGGATGGTCAACCAGTTCGCCACTGGTAACCTGGGCTGGCTCTCTGCTTCCTCTTCCTGACGAGAGGCCCTCGTCCTCGCTGGCTCCTGCCGGTTGGACCGGGAGCACCGGGTGCGGGCAGGCTCGGCTTCCCGCACCTCACCTAACCGGGCGAATGCGCTGACATGAGCAACGCTCTGCCCCAGCCTCTGTTTGGCGGACTTTCTCTGGCCCTCTTCCCTGTCCCCCAGCCTTTCGAAGGCGGAGTTTCGGGAAGTTGCTGGGCGGATAGTTTTTCCCTTCTTCTTCTTGTGAGCCCTCGGAACGTCCCACTCGCCGTCATCACTCTCAACTGAGACGCAATGACCATCAGGGGTGACTTGCGGATTCGTACCTTGCGGGGGACGCGATGGCCCTGCAGCGTTAAGCGCGCCAGTCAAGTTGACAGGGGCCATGGTGCTGACCAGCTGCGGTATCGGCGTCTGGAACGGCGTCACTGCCATTGGAGCTTGTAGGGGCACGGTCCCCGCGCCTGGAAGAGCAAACGGGAACATACCAGGGAGAAAAGGCATCCCCCCATTCTGTTGGCACATGGCAATGACCTGGCCAAAGCCCTGGATGGCTTGTAGGTTGGCTGGGTCATTCATGAACTGAGTCATGCTTGGTGGGAACGTGACCCTCGGTCCAGCGGAAGGGACGGGGGTCGTGAATGGGCTGATCACGCTAGGCGTTGGGACGGAGCTCAGACCCAAAGGCAACACCGGGGCTGAAATGACCGGTAGGGTAGCAGCCACAGGGATGCTGGTACCCTCATTGGTGGCTTGCACCTGAGTGGAAGTAGCGTTGATTTGTTGGCTTGAAGACATTTTGAGTGGTGTTTTCGTGGGTAGGTTTGTGTTTAGAAGAAAAGAAACCTTAACGGTCCCACGGTCGGCGCAAAAAATGATGGTGTAAATTACTTGACCGGTCAAACTATACTAGACCGGGTCTAGAATAGTTTGCTTTATTTGGTAAAGTAAGAAAGGTAAAAACACGCAGATTGACCGGTAGGACTTTAGGTGGAACACCTGTAGCCCAATTTATATTATAACGGAGAATGCACAAGTGCTTTCATAAGGGAGTTTAGAGAGAATGAATTCGGATCCCCTTCCTCGAGGGTTACAAGGGGTATATATACTAAGCTGGGGGGGACAGGACCACGTGCGCCCACGTGGGGGCATGCTGCTGATGTGGTGCAAGATGACTGTCCCTGAGCCGCCTTGTCATCTTGCGAGGGGGATTACCCCCTTGTCACGTTCTAGCTTGGAAATATTCCTCCAGCATCTCCACTGAGTTCCCAGCAATGCCAACCACTACAGTCCAAGTCCTTTTGGACTCTTCCTGCCGACACTTCCCAATCATTAAAAACTGCACTGGTTGGTTCTTGAGGGTTGGATATGCCAACTTCAAAGGATGAATTAGACCCCGGCATAGTTAGACCGGTATACTATTCGAAGTATACCGGTCAACCTTTTTGGTCAACCCTTTACCCTTCCATGAACGATTCATCTCTCTTCTAAGTTTGACCTGTTTGACCGGTCAACTTATATGGGTCTGACCCTTGACCGGTCATGGGTGAAATACACCCATCAATGTCAAAATAAGCATGTTTTACATTTTTCAAGAATTTTATTAAATAGTAAATATACTTATAACAATTAATATTATACCATAAATATTTTGATTAGGAGCACCAATTAATTATTAATTTCTTACACATAAATACCCATGTACCCCAAGTCTTCATCATTTTATAAAGTTACTGATGGAGAATAGTAAATTTTTTACTTGAATCTTTAAATTTTTACAAAGTTAGTAGTGGAAAATAAAGATTTAAAAATGAAAAATACTAATTTTAAAATGGAACATACTTTTAATTTGACATAGAGTTTTTTTAATATATACGAAACAAATTTAAAGATCTGTTAGATAATCATGCCCATAAACATTCCTTTCCTTTCATTTATTTATTTTTCTTTTTTGAAAATTCAAAAATCTCTCCAACTAGTAATAATTCCATGCAAAAAATATTCGCATTTAATTTTGTTTTCTCCTACAAATCTATATGTTCTTAGAATAAATTTATTTTTTATTATTGTTTTTAATATAAGTTTTTCTAATTTCAAAATGTATCCTTTAATTTAAATATTTCCAACAATGAATTAAGATGTAAATTTTTTTAAATGTGATTATGCTAAGGAATATGTGTCCATAGAATAAGTTTTTTTAACTACTTTAAATATTACTTGATGACATGGCGTGCTGATATGTCAAAAAATTGTTCAATAAGCGTGCCACATGTCATAATTCTAAAAGCTCAATTCTCAAATTTTATATACAAAGGTTTTGACATAGATGTCAAAATAAGCATGTTTTACATTTTTCAAAAATTTTATTTAATAGTAATTACACTTATAACAATTGATATTATACCATAAATATTCGATTAGGAACACCAATTAATTATTAATTTCTTACACATAAATACCCATATACCAAGTCTTCATCATTTTATAAAGTTATTAATGAAAAATAGTAATTTGTTTTACACGAATCTATAAATTTCCACAAAGTTAGTTATGGAAAATAAAAATGAAAAATACTAATTTTAAAATGGAACATACTTTTAATTTGACTTTGAATTTTTTTAATATACGAAATAAATTTAATTATCTGTTAAATAATCATGGCCATAAAAATCCCTTTCCTTTCATTTATTTATTTTTCTTTTTTAAAAATTGGAAAATCTCTCCAATTAGTAATAATTCCATGTAAAAACAAATATTTACATGTAATTTTGTTTGGTTTTACCAATATATCTTTTCTTAAAATAAATTTATTTTTTTTATTTTTTTTTAATATAAGTTTTTTTAATTTCAAAATGTATCATTTAATTTAAATATTTTCCAAGAATGAATTAAGATAAAAAAATTTTTAAAATGTGATTATGCTAAGGAATATGTCTACATAGAATACGTTTTTTCTAACTAATTCTTTAAATATTACTTGATGACATGACATGCTGATATGTCAAAAAATTACTTAATAAGTGTGCCACATATCATAATTTCTAAAAGTCAACTGCCAAATTATATATATATATATATATATATATATATATATATATATATATATATATATATATATATATGATTCAAAAGCATACAAATGAAAATATTTTCAGTAATGGAAAATATCTAGTAATATAATATAAAATTATTTGTATTTTAATATACTTTCTCCGTCTCATTAACATGGATCTATTTTGACTTTTAGTAAACTTAAGGGAGCAATACTTTTGTGTTGACTTTCCAAAAATACTTTTGATGTGATGAGTAAAAGTAAAATACCATAGATAGATTATTAGTAAAAAAATATGATGTGATAGGTAGATTGAGAATTAGTGGAGTAAAGGTGATTCTTTAAAAGAAATTGGAAAAATTTTATAAGATAAGTAAAAAAGAAAAGAAAAAGAGTTTTTGGGAAGAAAAGAATATATTTATAGGGCATGTTTGAAAATAACTTTAAAGATTAGCGTTAACGTTTTAGATAAAATTTTAACGGTCCATATTTTTTTGAAAACGGTAACACTAAACGCTACTTGTAAATATCCTTTTTAAAACGCGGATGCTAATCGTTTAACTATTCCCATGCTCATAGTTATAGTTTATGGGGTCAATTATCCGGATTGACTAGGACTAATAAGTAATACTCCCTCCGTCACTAAATAGATTATAATTTTTTTTCTCTTTCCTCTCGATAACTTTTGTTTGTTTACGCGATTTCATTAAGTTTTTGATAAAATAAAATAATCTTGTCACCTCTTGTTTTGTAGAATTTTTGATTTAGTTATTTAATATGTAATTTTTATATCTTATTGATATACTAATTTGTAGATATTTTGTTCCTCTGCGGCCTATGATTCTGACTAGCCCCCATAAATAAAATAATTTCAAAAAGAAATTTTTTTTATTTCGTAACCCGCAATTTGTAATCAAATTGGGGAGTAAGGAGTAACATTGCCATTAAACTCTTCTATACGAGGGGTCGATTGAAATTTCGAATTTTTGGTCTTCCGCACGCTCGCATCATCGTTTTCATCGTCCACGCCCTTCAAAGTGACAGATCCTAAAACACTGCCGACCAGACTGTACTTTCCGGAGCACGCAATCTCTTATATGCTGGAGATCACCGAAAATCATTTCGCCGGTGAATCGGTAGATTCAATCGTACACCTACAATGTTGTCGACCTGCAATGCCACCGTTGGCAGCTCGAGTCTTGCCTTCCCGAATCCGCCCCGCCTTTTCCATCCCAGCAATCTGATTTTCGGTCGACGCCGGAATGCCGTATTTTCCGGCGAATCTCTGCGCTCTAGTCCGGTAATGGCCGTGTCCGCTCAGGAGCCTAAGGTTATTGAACCCGCCACCTCTGAGCCGAGCCTTGCTAGTCGGCTCAGGCATGGCAGCTTGGCCGCAGACGGGTTTTCTTTCAAGGAGAAGTATATTATTCGGTGCTCCGAGGTCGGTGTTAACAAAACTGCAACCATTGAAGCCATCGCCAATCTCTTGCAGGTAAAGAGATTTATCTTCTTCTTATTAAGTCATTGATTTCTCAATCAACTTCCTTTCACTTAGCATTTGATTTGATTACAACTTGATTCTCAGCCTGATATCCTAAGTTCATGACTGTATAAATGCTATCGAATCTGCTAGATACACATCTATCTATGGAATTTGTGATTTTCCTCTATATTTATAATGTGAACCATCTAAGATTGATGAAATATGTTCCAAAGTTTGATTTTCTTAAGATGTAATTGGGCAGGAGGTTTCGTGTAACCATGCTCAGAGTGCAGGATTTTCCACCGATGGGTTTGCGACCACTCATACCATGAGAAAATTGCGCCTTATATGGGTTGCTGCACGAATGCACATTGAGATTTTTAGATACCCTGCCTGGTAGTACTCATTTTCTTCCTCTTCATACAATAGTTATGTTGGAACCATGAACTGTATTATTCACTCTTGGGCTGAGTAGGAGCGATGTCATCGAGATAGAGACTTGGATTGCTAGCGAGGGAAGGATTGGAACACGGCGTGATTGGGCTATTAAGGACTGTGCAACTGGTGAACTAATTGGGAGATGTACCAGGTGTAGTGGAGTACTTATATGCACAGTTTTGAACCTATTTGCAGAGTGATTTAATGTCACAGTGTGATATTCACATTGTTTTAGCTTTGGTAACTAATGGACTAAATCAAAATGACAATCAAAACTTCTTTTGCGTCTTACTTTGTATGAAATTTGGGTTCTATATACAACACTATATCAAGGGTCTAATGGAAACATCTCTATTTTGTTGGGGGTAAGGTTATGTATATCTTTACCCCCATATCTCATCAAGATTGGATTATCGTAGGTTTTGTTGATATTTTAAACATTTTCTTCATCTTTTTCTATGTTTTATAAAATCTCTGAATGGAAAATTACCTTTCTATCTAAGGAATTGAGGCTTCATTTGATTCTGTTTTTTAAATGATCATGTCAATTTTTTCCCTAGAATCTGTTTGTGATTTATTTGTTTCTGATTTTAAGTAGAATCAGTTGGTCAATTTTATTCCCAGAGTTTGATTTTCATATATAACCAAGTATTCTTCGAATAGAAAATGTTGAGAATCATAATTGGCCAAAAGTAGAATTAAAACCAAATGGTCCTCTAGTACGTTCAATTTCTTATTACTGTTTTAGCCTCTCTAGCTAGTCGTTTGAATGTCTATATGTTGTGTAAGTTCTAATAGATAATCAACCTTTTAATTGCAGCATGTGGCTGATGATGAACCAAGACACCAGACGGCTTCAGAAGGTAGTTGATGATGTTCGTAATGAGTTGATACCTTTTTGCCCCAACCCGCCAAGGTAACTGGTGCAGCGAAACAGAAAGTTTCTGCCTTTCATCCTTATCTTGTGCTTTTCTATGCTTTTAAGTTCTGAAAATTTATAGTTTCTTGAGTTCTATTTCACTAGTGTTGTCACATTTTTAATCTTTGTTCACTCACAACAATGTACCCCGTAAAATGTCACAAAGTGGGGTCTGGGACACTGGGTGTGTACATAGTCCTAACCCCTACCCAAATAGTTGAGAGGTTGTTTTCAAGAGACCCCCGACTCAAAACACAAGAGTAGAACAACAAAAGTAGCACAAATAAATTAAGAACACAGACCAAAGAAGCACATATACAGAAATTTAAAAACTCAGTCACAAAGCACACACACAAAAGCTACCGATTAAGACATAAAAACGCACATGCATGAAGTTGTATCTAAAGCCATATCCTTGGATATCAATAGATATCAGTCCCACCCTTCCCTGAATAACTTCATTCTGGATCTTATATATCCTTGCTTAGCCACACGTCCACCTATGCATTCTTATCTCTGCCTCCCTTGAAGTTGTCAAACAAGAGTTCACTTCACCACCCAGTATTTGGCTTCGTACAACATAGTCAAACCAGTGTTCAATAAGATTTTCCTTTCAGGTTTGCCGATATCTTCTTATCATAAAGGACACCTGAAACTAGCTCCCACTTTGCCCAAGCTACTTTAATTTGTTGAACACCCCCATCCATCTCCACATTGGTTTGAATGATGAATCCAAGTTGTCCTACCATTGAAGCAACATTTCACGCACTCAATCTTAGTTCTGCTCAATTTGCACTTCTGGAGTTCCAAGACTGCACGACACAACCAATCTATCATTGAGTCCCTCATGTGTCACGTCAATCGGCGCATTGTCATCAACAAATAACATGCACCAAGGTACCTTCCCCCTGAATACGCTGTGTAAGAACATCCATTGCTACTGCAACTGCAAAAGTGTTGGGCTTTGTGGAGGCTTGTTTGTCGGCCCGGCGTAGTTGTGCGTAGCCCTAGTTTTTTCCCCTATATATAGAGGGCTTGTACTTGTAATCTGTTCCACAAGTGAAATAAGAAAATCCTCCTGTTGCAGCCGCCGTGGATTAGGGAAACCGAACCACGTTAAATTCTTGTGTGTCGTTTGTGTTCCGTTTCTCTCTTGATTCTCGCAGATATTTGTGTGTTGTGTGTTTAATCCCCAACAAGTGGTATCGGAGCAAGGTTGTTCAACACGAGAACACAAATTGTTAGAAAATTTGTCACCTAGGGTTTTTTGGGGTGTGCGACAGATCTAGAGCCGCTGCTGCCGTCAGACGCGAAGGAGCGAGGGTGAGCAAACCACCGCCGCCGTCGAAGTAGCCGCGCGCAGAGGAGATCCGCCGCCGCCTGGTTGAGAAGCCGCCACGAAGCCACGCCGTTACAGATTGCACCACCGCCGTCAGATCAGATCGTCGCCGGTGGGTCTTGCCGCCGTCGCCGCGAGGATCGTCGCCGCCGTTTGCGTACAGACCGCCGCACGCAGGAGCAGCGGCAGAAGGAGCCACCGCCGCGTGGAGGTGCCGCAGCCCTCCGTCTAGCCGTCAGTCATCCACGCGCGGCCGCTGGTTCAGGTGCCGCCGCCGTCGGGAACCGTCCATCCGAGATTGTGCAGAGCCGCTAACCCAGTTGCTGTAGCGCCGCCTACCTGCGAAGAAGAAAAGCAGGTTGATCGAAGAAAAGTTGGTACGAAGGAAAAAAGGCTGTGTGCAAGGTGTTGGGCCGAAGAAAGAAAAAAATAAGAAAAGGAGTGGTGGACCCGGGCAGTGGGCTAAATTGAGTTTCATTTGTCGTTTGAGATGACAGAAGACGGGAAGTTCCGAATTGAGAAATTCGATGGTACAGATTTTAGTTGGTGGAAGATGCAAATTGAAGATTTGCTGGTTCAGAAAGATTTGGACGTGGTTTTGGGTGACAAGCCAGAAAAGATGTCGGATGCAGATTGGGTAGGTTTGGAACGGAAAGCAATGTCCGTGATCCGTCTCTCGTTGACCAAGAATGTTGCGTTCACATTCTGAAGGAGAAGACAGCGAAGGGAATTATGGAAGCGTTGTCTAATATGTACGAGAAGCCATCTGCAGCTAACAAAGTTTTTCTGATTAGAGAGCTGGTGAATACAAGGATGAGAGAAGACACTTTAGTTACCGAGCATATCAACAAGTTGAATTCGATCTTAGCCAGGGAATTAAGTTCGATGATGAAGTTCAAGCTTTGCTACAGCTATCGTCTTTGCCTGATAGTTGGTCCGGAACGGTTACAGCGGTTACCGGTTCAGTGGGGCCTGATGGATTCACCTTTGATCAGATTCGAGATCTCGTTCTTGGCGAGGATGTCAGAAGAAAGAGTTCAGGAGAGTCATCTGGTGAATTACTTCATGTTGGTAGAGGCAGAAGAAATAGCAGAGGTAGTGGGAGCAAGAACAGACAAAGGAGTCAGTCGAAGACTCGTGACAGCTCAGGTGTAACATGCTGGAAATGCAAGGAGGTGGGGCATTTTAGGAATCAATGTCCGAATGACAAGAAAGTGAACCTTGCTGAAGGCTCTACGAGTGACGAGAAGGTCACTTTGACTTGCTGCGAGGAAAGCAATGTGGATTCCTGGGTCATGGATTCTGGTGCTTCATTTCATGCCACCCACAGCGGTGAAGCATTGCAGAATCTGGTTGTTGGGGACTTTGGAAAGGTACGACTAGCGGACGACAGTGCTCTTGAGGTGACGGGCATGGGTGACATGGTGTTGAAGACCTCAGTCGGTTTCTGGACTTTGAAGGATGTCAACCTTGAAGAAAAGTTTGATTTCTGTCAGGCAGTTGGACGAACAGGGACACGAGGTAAAGTTCAGAGATGGGCAGTGGAAGGTCGTGAAGGGAAATCTTGTCATAGCCCGTGGAAAGAAGAGAGGTTCGTTGTACATGGTCGAGTTACCATCTGAGGGAGTGACCGTCCCAGTTCAGAAGAGAAACAAAGTCTGGTTCACAGAGTCTCGTGGGCAGAATAAGGTTGTCTGTGCAAGAGAGAAATCTAGAGCCACTGGTCAGACTCAGGATGAACGAGCGTGGAAAGGTTCAAGGGGGCCAGTCAGAGGTATTTATGGCAGTGGGAGCTCAAGAGGCGCTTCAGCCAAGTTGCCTAGAAGATAGTGGGTCAAGAGAACCAGTATTCCAGCTGTTGGAACATCTCCGGAAAATTTCTTGCTGAGTACGGAGAGTGTTTGTTCTCAGGATGTTCCAGGATCCGGCAGTGTGCGTCTGCAGTGGGAGCCGGTAGGGACCGAGGACGAGTCAGGGGCAGATTTTGCCGTGACTGATGTGTTGGAGCTTGGGATAGCTTCAACGGGCCTTTCAGTTGTCTGATGATAGGGCCGCTGCAACAGGAGAGCTGAGGAAGATTACTCGATGTACAGGCGATCGTGGCGGATGGCAGTTGATGTTTATCAAGCCTCCAAGTGGGAGAATGTTGGGCTTTGTGGAGGCTTGTTTGTCGGCCCGGCCCAGTTGTGCGTAGCCCTAGTTTTTTCCCCTATATATAGAGGGCTTGTACTTGTAATCTGTACCACAAGTGAAATAAGAAAATCCTCCTGTTGCAGCCGTGGATTAGGGAAATCGAACCACGTTAAATTCTTGTGTGTCGTTTGTGTTCCGTTTCTCTCTTGATTCTCGCAGATATTTGTGTGTGTTGTGTGTTTAATCCCCAACAAAAAGGACAATAGACAAACCCTGATGTAGTCCTACCTTCAACAAGAAGTGGTAAGAGTCGCCTCCTATTGACATTAGTTTAGTTTGCTATGCCTTTTCCATGTCAATAAACATCATGAAAAGTCCCTCTTTTTGTCCTTACACTACAACATCAGTCTCCACAAGAAACAAATAGCCTCAGTGGTTGACCAACTAGGCATGAAACCAAATTGATTCCCGTGAATGCTCACCTTCATCCTTAACCTATCCTCAATGATATGTTATTATACCTTCTTGATGTGGCCAAACAATTTGATGCCTCTAAATTATCGCAAACCTGGATATCATATTTGCCCTTGTACGACGTTGTCACCATCTCCACTCAGCAAGCATCTTTGTCATCCTGAAAATAACATTTAACAACTTGGTGGTCCACACCAACCTATCACTTTCCACAATCACCCAAAACTCCACGAGAATCTCATTTGGTGCCATGTCCCCCCCCCCCAATCCAGCAAATACCCCTCACCACCTTTTCTTGTCTAGGCACCGACAGTACCCAAAATCTTGATAACTCTCTTATTGCATCATCTCACGAAGTAATAGTCTCTCAGCCCCTTAAGCATTCAAAATCTGATGATAGTACAGCTGCCATTTGTTTCTCCAATCGACCTAATGAACAAAATTCTTTCAGCCCCACCTTTAACACCTCAAATGCTGCAGATCTCGTGCCTTCACACACCTTCATCAGCTGAAACAATCTCTTCTTTTCCCCCACTCTTTCAGATTCGTATCCAGATGTTCAAAAGTTGCATTCTTCGCCAATGAGACTGCTAACTTAACTTTGGCAATTTTATACTCCTCTTGTAACGACCCTATAATCTCCTCGTCTCTAGACTCCATTAGCCTCTTTGTTCACTTAATATTAGTATACTTCTCTGTAGTGGTTTTTATGTGTACCATACAGTTGTTTCTGAAGCTATAGTAATTTGTTATGGACGGTTTTGGTATTTCATCTCATTATTCCTTCATAAGTTGTAATAATCATGTAAAAGTTATCCACTGAAGACTTACATAGATTTGTAGGGGTGACTAATTTTTGAAATTTAGTTAACAGTATTAATTCCATTCCACAGGTCCCAACATAGTTGGGACTAAGGAGCTGATCATGATGATGACGATTAGTGTTATAAATTTGTTCAAATTTTGTTTTCAAGTATGGGTGCTCATTTTTCATCTTCTGTGCTTCGGATTAAAGTGTTATGATGCTCTTATAGTCTATAGAGTGTTAATGTTAATGAACTTCTTTAATGCTAGGTTTTCTTTTCCCGATAAGAGTTCCAGCTCAAAGAAAATACTTAAACTGGAAGATCCTGCAGAGTATTCTCTCCTACGGCTGGTGGTAAGTATTCATTTTGGATTGCTGTGTATTCTGGCAGAATCCTCTGTTCAGTGTATTAACGTAATCAGTTACATTGCAGCCAAGAAGAACTGATTTGGACATGAATCACCATCTGAATTTTGTTACCTACATTGGATGGGTACTTGAGGTTGGTAAAACTCATTGTTGTAAATAGAGAATTTTTTTCATTTGCACCCCTTATTTTGCCTCAATATTTGACTTTGTATCCATGTTTTATTTTCTTTGATTTTGCTTGCTGCATTTCACCTTTGACTTTGTATCACATGGTTTATCCCTCTGAGCAAATTTATTCTATCCGGCTTTCCACCATTAGACTTGATACATGTGATCTATCTTTACTCTCTGGCTTTGCATCCTACCTTTGGATCTTCTGAAGTAGAGTCAGAGAAACTAACGCATGGGGTGCAAAATACAAGCACCCCCCCCCCCCCCGGCCTCATTGTGCGCCACTAAAATCCCATCCAATCTTGTTCAAAACTTTGGTATAACCTTCTTTTGTTGATGTTGCCACAATGACATCTTTCTAGTACCATAAGCTGCAAGATTCCTAACTTGGGTGTCTTCACAACAGAGCATGCCTCAAGAAATCATTGATACGTGTGAGCTGCAAACTATTACGCTGGATTATAAGAGGGAATGCCAGCACGACGACGTGGTTGATTCTCTCACAAGCCATGAACCACTTGATGGATCAGTGGCAGGTGATCGGAAGTGCTTCCTGCATTTACTCAGACTATCTAATGGGGGAGTTGAGATAAATAGGGGTCGTACCGAGTGGAGAAGCAAGTCTTGAGCCTTATTTCCTGCTGATTTGTAGCATTGAACATATATATATATATTTCATAGCTTGTTTTCTTGAAAGAGAAGCTTGATCCAGTTCTTGGTGAGTGATTGGTGTGAACTGATGTGCTCTTGAAGTTTTGAACTCTCAAACAAAATCTGTTGGGGAGAACATTTTTTCTCTCTAACGGTTAATGAAATTTTGCTGGGGTTATATTTCATTTCTTTTTCTAGTGATCACTATTCTACCTTTCCTAGTTCTATTTTATTTCAGTGGGGTTACAAGTTGAATTGATTGTTGGCTGTCCAAAAAAACGCAAAATTGAAGTTACTTGCATCCCGAGTACATTTTTTCTCTAGAGAAAATTGAAAAGATCCTTAAGGGTTAAATCAATGTTTACTCTTTAAGAGTTTATATTTTATCACAGACATACGTAGATAATCATTGTCTTTGCATGCATGTACAGTGTTTGTCAGTGTGTGTTTGTGATACACTGGTGTGCAAGTTGGGGTACAACTAGCACACCCCATATTTTGAACATGTTTGAGGTTAGCCTTTTTTGTTTGAAGAAAGGTTAGCTTTAGCTTTATTTAAACATGCAAAAAATTAGATATGAACTATGCTTGAGTTTAGGTTTTTCCAAGATGTTCAGAGTTTTATACGGATCGTCTTTAAAATACCCACATCATGCTCTTATTGACACGTGAAGGTGATCAAAATGGACGTGAGTGCATCACGGCTCGGAAGTTTTTTATATACTCCATAAAAATATGTTTTATTAAAATAATACAAATATTTGTATCTAATACTTTTATGTATTAAAATGAATATAACTTGCTACACCATATGCCATTATAGAATTATACTCCGTATGTCGTGTATTTATATGTTTATATGTATAGAACATGGACGAGTCTACATGCCAAATGTAAAATACAAGCGTGTCCGTATTACGTTGCGAGCCGGCTCGACTGGGCTGTATGGCTTATATAGTTTCCATAACTACCCTTTTTAAGGGCATGATGGGCACATCAGATAGGCCAACCCAAGTTTGGGCATAAGCTTTAAGTATACTTTCAAACTTTTTATCCGAAGCTCATAAAAATCTTAAGAAAAAAAAGATGGAACATCCATCCTCTATATCTCTACACTCTGGCCCGACAAAGTAATGAGAAGATTAATCATGGTATATTCTTAGTCTGTTTTTACAGAGTTTGCCTCGTGTCTGATTTGCACATATGTAAATTTCCTACATTGCCCATAACCTATTTTAGCATTTAATTTCACGCATAGAAGATTGCTTACAGTCAAATAAAGAAACGTGCAAAAAATGGGTGTAGAAATGTTTATACCCTAACCGGAAAACCACAAATTCAACCAACACAAAACAAATACAAAGATTACACCCAAGAAAGTACTCCCTCCGTCCCGTTTTAAATCGTCTGTTTTGACTTTTGGGCATATTTAAGGAAAAAAAATAGAGTTGATTTTTTGAAATTGTCATTACTTTTTAGAAGGGGTGACTATGAATTAGAAGATAAGGTGAAGAAGGGTGACTTATTTTAGGGGTAATTTAGGTATTTTATTTTTAAAAGTTTACGATAACAACTTCAGGTAACTTATTTTGGGACGGAGAAAGAAGGCAAACATGCAATTTAAATTGAGACAGAGGGAGTATATAAATAGACATACTTGTACTCCCACCATTCCAGAATAAGTGACACATTTGACCTGACACGATTATTAAGAAAAATGAAATTTACTTAATTGAGATTTGTACAGAGAAGATATGAATAATATGAACGAAACAATTATTTTCTGGAAGAAAAAAAAATTGGAACTTTCTTTTGGGTCATACCAATGAATGAAATGTGAAACGTTTTCCTGCATAATCAAGCAAAAGCTATACAAGGCTTCCAATAAAGGGTGGACAAGAAATGATTTCAAGAAATATAGTTCTCCATCTACTCAAAACGTTTAATACAGCAATATATTGTTATAACCTCAGGCTGCACTGGAACAACCCTGCAGGCAAGAAAGATATAAAGAAAGAAAGAAAAAAAGGGCAAAAAGAAAATCATGGAAGATTCATAGCTGGATTAAGAACACAAAATACAAAAACTTCCCAAATATCTCAATTGTATTTCGATATTGGTCAAAACAGAATCAAGAGTTTTACTAACTCCAAATCCTTGTAATTTTTCTTACCCTTCAGCCTTCATGGAAATATCTTAAATAAATCTCGCAGGAGTCCCGGCTGCCTGCCTCTGAAGCTCTTGGTTCTCTTCCAAGAGACGGTCATATTCCAGAAGAAGAGCCGCAGTTTGGTTCTGAAGAGAGTTGACATTCTCTTCAGCTGTTTGGATCCGTTTCCCCTTCTTTTCGCATTCCTCCTTGGCCGTTTTCACTTCGTCCTTCAAACATGAGATTTCTTTCTGTAGTTGTTTGACTTCCTCTTCTGCTTGTTTTGCCCTTTCATTGAACACCACCTTTTCTTTCTCAAGCTTTCCAACTTCGTCCTTTGATGTCGCCGCGCCACTTTGCAGCTCAATCAATTCCCGAATGTAGAAATGGATTCGGTCGATCAAGAAACCAAGAAACAGGGAGAAGCCTGTGAAGTCGAGATCAAGATTAAGATCAGAGAGAGAGGACCTCATGAGTGGGTAGGAATCCTATAATGAGAACTAAACTGTATTCGAATGATCACACACACTGTTTATCTGAGAGACGATATGTTCAGCACAGATTTTAGGTTGTTGTTTACATATAGTATAGACTAAGATTTTGGGCAGATGAATGATGGTGTTCCCAAGAACAAAAAGCAAATCAAATCCATTTGTTCTCTATGGTGTTCACTTCCTTATGAAAAGCTTCGGTTGCACTTATTAAAACCTATTACTTATGTCAGTCTTCTATTTTTTTTGGTACCCAAACATGACAATATAGAAACACTTGACGAAATCCGCTTTTAACACTAATCCACTTCTCTGGATCCATCATAAACAAAAAAAATTCAAACATTCTACTAAGAATTAGATGAAGCACATCAAACTCAATAGGTAAGAAGCAAGGGAGGTGTAATATGCCATTTTGGTTTAGTCAATTATACACCCAAAGCTAAAACAATCTTTAGAAAAATGACTCTTTTAGCTCCATTGGTAATGGACACAAGTTGATTGGATAACAGTTTATGAGACTCAGTACCAGTGAGTGTTCCATTGAACATAAAAACAACGCAAAACACAACTCTACGCATTGTCCTGTTTGGCTTCAGTTTTAGCATCTGACTCTAGCTTCTTGAAAAATCACTCCAACGGTATAGCCTTGATAAAATATTCAAAAATGTTAACACTAATTACAAGTACTGTTTACAACAAGCAACCAATTTCCATTTCCAACATCAGCACAATCCAAGGCACAGACATGGCAACCGAGAAGCAATCAACACTTTCCCATTCAAGAACAACACAAGAGAAACGGAGTTACCGAAAATCTAGGGAAGCGAAATAGGTGTTACGATCATAATGTATATATACCTATGAGAGTGGCTTCCAACAAGTTGGTCCTCCAGAGAACTTGATCCATGGGGGTCATAGTCCCAAGCTTAGCACCCTTGTTCTGGATCCTGACAATGCTGAAGAAGTGGGACAACAGGATGGCACAGAACACGCCGGCAATGGTCAAAACAGTGCCCTTCATCGTCTTCAGCTGATCCAAGCCGTTCATCACCAGCTCCCTCAAAGGCCCAATCTTCACCACCAGAAGGAAAGCCAGCACCCCCTCCGACAGCAGAACCAGTAGCAGCAGCTGAATCATCTTCACAGACCAATAATTACCCTTTTCTTCTTCTTCTTCTTCCTCCTCTTGACTTGATTGAGCATCAAGATTCAAAAAAACCCCCAAACTTCCTTTCCTCAAGAAATCACCATCATCTGCAAGCATAGAAACCCTAGCTTCATCTAGACTCACAATGCTGCAGAAGAAAGAAACCCTTTTGCGGGATTTAACGATCTTTAATCGGGGGAATGTCTGATCTTTACTGTGCAGTTGGAGAAAAATTCCCAGATACTCCTCCTGATGGCTACTGATTACTGGGTTTGAAAATGGAAAGTCTGGGCTTCAAGCTGAATGCAAGTGGGATACTCGGATTTACTGTATTTAAGTACGATTGAGTTCTACATTTACCAGTAAAATGTACTCCCTTTGGAAATGTTCTTCCCATTTGACTTTTCACGGTCTCCAAAATTGCACTTTGACCACTAATAATTTTATTTATACATGAATATATTTTATAAAAATTTGATATTTGAAAACTATATTTCAAAATAAATATATTCATATTAAAGTTATATCGTAATACAATGTATTTTTTCCACATATCATAGTCAAAGTTTACAAACTTTGACCAAGAAAAGTCAAATGGGAAGAATATTTCCGGACGAAGGGAGTACTTTACATTTTTTGAACAATAATAACTCTAATAGAGATGTAATACTCCCTCCCTCCCAAATTATTTGTCACATTTCTATTACCGAAGCAAAATATCAAGTTTTTTCAATTCATTTTATTTACATATTGGTAAAAAAATAGAAAATAAAAATTACATATAAAAAAACTACATGAAAAGTTCTTCGAAATAAGAGGTGTCAAGAATATTTTATTTTATCAAATAACCAATGAAAACGTAGAAATAAACAAAAGTTCCCGTGGCTGTTGAAAAAGCAAATGTGACAAATAATTTGGGACGGAGGGAATATCTCTTTAGGTATTCTCTACTTATTAAACCTTATAGTGTTATTTCAAGTTGGGTTATGCTACACTTACACCAAAAATTGTACCTCATTTATATACCGCAGTTATATACAAACATTTTGATGGTTTACACCGACACAAGTGTTAGTGCGTTAACAAAAAATTACACGGACACAAAGTATTGATGCGTTAACAAAAACTAGTTTTACACCGACACAAAATGACAGTGCAAACCTGTGGTGTACAAAATGGGGTACAAAAATTTGGGGTACAAATAGCTTTATCCTTTGAAGTTACTTTTATTTAGTTCCAAAGTGTCCCTTATTTTATTTAGTTCAATTCAATTTATTTCAACTCATTACTTTTTCATTCAGTTTAGTTTAGTAAATTTCAACGAAAAAGAAAATTTATAAATTCATTTATTTCGGGCGAGAATCCTGAATTTTGTAAAATTTGACTTGATATATTATTTCATATATAGAGAAAATGTTCAACTAAATTGAAATATGAACTCAATGATAATTGTAATTTGATTTCAAGATACTCTTTCATCCTACTTTATTGGTTACAATTAGGGATGGCAACGGGTCGGGTTTGGGTCGGATAGTACTATACCCGAACCCGACCCGACTTTAAAAACTGAAACCCGAACTCGACCCGAAACCTGACTTTTTAAGCCAAAACCCAAACCCGACCCGAACCCGAAATTCCAACTAGAAACCCGAACCCGACCCAAACTCGAGTTTTAACTAATAATCAATTCGTCTTACCCCATTAATTTTAAAAAAATTACATCTAATTTTTATTTGTGTCTCATTTTTTTTATTAAGAAATTATAAAAATGATTATAAAAGGCATACTTGATATAGTAGCACTTTGTCAAGAGATTATACGGAGTGCTCATTATATCCATAGATAGGCTTTTATATTATAAAATATTCGGGTTTGAGTCGGGTCGGGTTCGGGGTCGGGTCGGGTCGGGTAAAATAATAAACCCACACCCGACCCCGACCCGATGTCGGGTTCGGGTAAAAATTTCAGGTCGGGTTCGGATTATTTTATTCTTGGTTCGGGTTCGGATATTTTAGTGATCGGTCGGGTCGGTTAAGCTCGGGTTTGGGTTGAATTGCCATCCCTAGTTACAATTCTTATTCACGCCATTAAATCTTTTCTCTTTCTTTATAGATTTTTTGCCTAATATAATTATGCGACCTTTATTTTAAAAATATTTTATATTATGCTTAAATACATTGTTACAATTTTTGTACGGATTACAACGGACGGGGAAGATGAACGGTCTCGGAAAATAAAAATAAATAAAATTCTGAATTTATAACTTATTCAGAATATTACAAGATAAATAGAATTGAAAATAAGTTTATATATCTTCAAACAGCCTTGTTGTATGAGGACATTAAACACTGGACATCGAGGACATTATGCACTGGACAACAAGTAAATTATGCACTGGGCTACGAGGACATTATGCACTAGGGCAGAATGCAGCGAGGTCTTTATGAACTAAACCTGCAAAACAAAACACCGTGAAGGACAGCGGAGTCGCCGGAGCTGTCCTTAAGGTAGTAGTGCCCGCCTACCGTACCGGAAAAACGTGGGCACTCTACTCCCAGGATAAACCGCTATCGTGTGTGGAGATGTACGGACCAACCACACACCAGCGAACAAAAACAACGTAGGAACGTTGGCGACCAAAAAACTTTGAAGGGAATTGCCGGAAAGTTGGCCGAAAAATCAAGAGCTCTTTCTAAAAGAAACAAATACTTTTCCTTTCTTTTTCCTTCCTCACGTATGAAACAACCACCAAGAAAGGAGAGCCTCTTGATTTGATTTTATAACTAAGAAATTGAAAAAGTGTAACTTACACAATTTATTCTTAGTATTAAACCATGGCATTTGTGGCACACTAATGCCGTGTTAATGGTGATTAATTAGCCATTAACACGTCCGTTACGCTACGCTCCGTTTAAAATTTGTCCCGAATAATTGGAGATTAATGGCCAATTAACTCCGTAAGAAAGGACTAATTTTAAACAATACGTAAAATTAATAAAAGAAGATTGGTTCAGTAAAATTGCAAAAATTGCAATCCTTACCAAATTCTTTTATTAACAGGTTAAGTCTGAGAATCAATTTCTCATTCACCCTCTACCATTTTTGGCATATAAATTATCAAAACATTTATCTCATTTAAGAGAACACATGTCCATTAATTAACGGTTAAAACAATTAGTGGACCTATTGATAACTATACCTAAGTTGGTCCATTTAATGCCTATTAAAAATGTCAAAAATTCCAATATACATAAATTTATTTATTAAATTTTAAAATTAATATTTATATAAAATAATTTAAAAATGATATTTCTTATCCAAAATCAAAGGGAATCGAGATACTCCATTATATTAAACTAAGGCCTTATTTTCTTGGTTATGATTTACGAGTTGAATGTCGTAAGAAATTGAAAAAAGTTTAAGAAATATAGAAGAAGTTAGAAATAGCTCGAAGGATATAGAAAATATTGAGAGTAATTACTCAAATAGGACCTAAACCCATCCCTTTTCCGTAAATAGGAGTACTCTTATGACTCTATGTTTTCGCCGAACGAAAAGGACCAAAATGCCCCCAAATGGTCTTTAATGATTTAAAAAAGAAAACGGCGTAGTTTGGGGATTCGCGAAAAAAAGGCGTAATTTTGGACGGTGAAAGGGCGCACAACTTACCATGTAGGAGTAGGCTTCTTCTGCATGTAGGGCGTAGGTCTTTACTCTAGTAGATCCAATTTTTTATACATTTGAGGTAGGGTTCATTGAAGATTCTCCTCGACGACAAGCTTTGAGAAAAGGAAGTCGACCAGAAGCGCCACTGCGAGGAGACTGGCTAGTAGAGCACCAGTAGATGACGACGATGACTTTGTGGATGAAATTCCCATTTTAAAGACTATGAAATTACTGAAGACAACATCTGGGCGAGTGAGTTTTTTTATTCATTCTCATTATGTGTTTGTTTTTTTGTTATGAACAGCACCAAATTTTGAGCATAGTATGATGTATGTGTGATGTTTGATTTAATGACCTTCAGAGTGAAGTGTTTTAATTTCTTGGCTCCCATTTTTTTTAATTTGAGAAATTGATTGTTGGAGTATGGAAGTCTGTTTCCAGGTAGTACGATTTGTTAGTATTAGTTGATTTTTAAGAGTGTTAATGGTGCTTAATTCAACATTTGAATACATACCATTCGGTTTCAGAGTTGGGTCTTTATCTTAGACATGAAATTAGTCTTTGGTTGAGCAAGGTCTAGTTTGAGTAAATGTGGGGGTTCATGTGTTGCTGAATTGGGTGGGTGTCCTATGGTGTAAAAACCTTTTTTTTTAAATTCTAAACACCTATGCTTCATACTGAATGTTTGTTTTTAATATTTCATTGTGGGGTTGATGTTTTGTTTTAGGAAAATGTTAGCCACCATTTTTGATTGACTGTGGTTTGTCCTGTTGTAAGGTGTGAGTTGTATACAGCATTGGGTGGCTCTGTTGTGTTGTGAACACTGATCCTTTGTTTTGAATTCCAAAGACCTATGCTTCGTACTGACTGTTTGTTTTTTATTTTTCATTATGGGTGCTTTTGGTTTATTTTAGTAAGTCATTGTGGATATAAGTGTAGGCAGTAGACATTATTGGTCATTATTCTGTGCACTGGTCAGTATGAAGTTTCAATTTGTGGACATTATTAGGTGCACTAGACATTATGAAGTTCTTGTTGGGGAATGAAGAATTGTGTTCCATACATGTGGGTGTGACTTGTGTTTGTGTACGTATATAGTGCTAATTTGAGTACTCTTGTAAGTGGCATATGTCTAAAACTGACGGCCTGTAACTTGTGGATTTGTACGCCATTTTTTTGTGTGGGTGTGTGTGGTTTACAAGGTTGTTTTTCCTCCACTGGGGTGTCAGAGTTGATTCTTTATCTTAGACATGAAATTAGTCTTTAGTTGGTATGATCTGGTTCAGTCACTGTTTGTAGATGTGTTTCTGGATTGTGATTTTATGTGGATAAGTATGGGTGAGTGGTCAGTCCGGTGTTGATGTTTTGTTTTAGGAAAATGTTAGCCACCATTTTTGATTGAATGTGGTTTGACCTGTTGTAAGGTGTGAGTTGTATACAGCATTAGGTGGCTCTGTTGTGTTGTGACGACTGATCCTTTTTTTTTGAATTCTAAAGACCTATGCTTCGTACTGACTGTTTGTTTTTTTCATTGTGGGTGCTTTTGGTTTATTTTAGTAAGTGAGTATGAATATAAGTGTAGGGAGTAGATAGTATTGGTCATTATTCTGTGCAAGCAATATAATGTCTAAAAAAGATCACCATTCTCCCAGAAATGGGGTTCGCACACGTCTTCATAAAATAAGTCAAGCACGATTTAAAGCAATGGGATTCGAACACGTCTTCCTATTATGTCCTGATGATTTGCATCGTGAGCATGATTGCCGCTTCGCATGTTCACCTTTCCACGGGATCCTGCGCTTCTTTGGTCTTCTTGGTGGTCATTTAGAGCAAGATGGTGGGAGGCACAGAGTTTCAGCGACCTCATCAGGTACAACCCACGAGTCTTTAGAAGGAATTGAGTGTATGATCCCGCTATATGTAGCCCTCCAAGAAGCACGATGTAAAACGATGATATGTAATCATAGCACGACAAACCGTGTCGGCAACGAGTAGCGGCGACTGCATGAACACTTACGAAATGTTCCAACTGGAATTCACAATAGGCACATGTCCGATTCTGAAAATTCACAACGAACGATCGGCCGTTCTTGTAACGCCCCAAAATATACCCTAAAATTTATTGAATTAAATATTCAATTAAACAAAATTTGTTTTGATTAAAATAAATTGTTATTGGGATTTGGGCTTGAATAAAATATATATTGATATCCAATAAACATAATTGGGATAAATCTTATAGAGATAAATTCAACATGTTGATTTATTGTGTGATCTTGATTGGGAACCTGAGTACAGACTCAAATTAAGAATAAATGAAGAAATTTTTTATAATGTGAACTTTGAAATGATTTATTGAAATAAATCATGGGAATAAATAATATGAATTAAATGTGAGAACCTTTTTGAATAAAGGCCAATTTTGACTCTGTCAAAGTCAACCACCCAAAAATATGATGTCGGAAAAAGTATAACGAATAAATATAAAAATTATATCGTTGGATAGAGTTTAATTGCACGATCGCAACGGTGCAAA